ATTACGTTCTTCCAGTTGTGCTACTATTCTCAATTTAGATGAAGGTTTACAGAACAAAATAGTTTCTCATTAAACAGTTAGTACACATGCTGCCCTATGATAATGGTTAACAACCCCACTACATGTCAACACTGTCCTTACTCAACCTTGGGTTCCCTATCACTAGCTTTCCCATCCCCTTCTGCCTTCTAGACCTTGTCCCTGGACTGCTGTGCCTCATTAGTCCCATTTTGTTTCATGGGGCTGTCCAAATCGCTGCTGAACGGTGAACCTCGGAAGTGACTTCATCACTGAACTAAAAGGGTGTCTGGGGGCCACACTCTCGGGGTTTCTCCAGTCTCTTTCAGCCCAGTAAATCTGGTCTTTTTTATGTGTGTTAGAATTTTGTTCTACGTCCTTCTCCAGCTCTGTCCAGAACTCGCTGTTGTGATTCCGGTCAGAACAGTCAGTAGTGGTAGCCAGGCACCATCTAGTTGTACTGGACTCAGTCTGGTGGAGGCCTTGGTAGCTGTGGTCCATTAGTCCTTTGGACTAATCTTTTCCTTGTACCTTCTTTTCTTCATTCTTCCTTGCTCCCAAAGGGGAGAGACCAGTGGAGTCTCTTAGATGGCTGCTCACAGGATTTTAAGACCCCAGACGCTACTCACCAAAGTAGAATGTAGAACATTGTCTTTATAAACTGTGCTATGCCAGCTGAGCTAGATGTTCCCCCAAGACATGGTCCCCACAGCCTCTGCCCAGCAATTCAGTCCCTCAGGGAGTTTGGAAGTGTCTATGGAGCTTCCATGGCCTTTCCTTGTAGAAATTGTGCTGGCTTCCCCAGTATTGTGTACTGTCTTACCCTTCACCAAAGTTACCACTTATCTATTGTCTATTTAGTATTCCCCCTCCACCCCTCCCATCCATCGTAACCAACAAAGATTGTTACTTTTTGTGTGTAAACTTTTTCAAGAGTTTTTAACATAGAGGTTTCATACAATATTTGTCCTTTTGTGATTGACTTATTTCACACAGCATAATGTCCTCCAGTTTCATCCATGTTATGCTTCACAGATTCGTAATTGTTCTTTATCATTGCTTAGTACTCCATTGTGTGTATGTACCATAGTTTGTTTATCCATTCATCTGTTGATGGGCATCTAGGTTGTTCCATCTTTTTGCTACTGTGTCAGTGTAATTATTGATAGATGTGAGTTCACTGCTGTCATTTTGTAGTGTTTTTTTTTGTGGTGCTGACGTTTTCTTTGTTCCTCTTACTCTCCTGTGCTGAATTCCTTTTGTTTGTGGATTTTTTTCATTTATTTTGTTTTTGTAGGTTTTGTTTTTACTGAGACTTTATGTTGTTCCCCTTTATTTTTATGTTAGTTAACTTTCTTTGTGGTTACCGTGAAATTTACCCTTATCTTTCTAAGTCTGAAGCAGTCCATTATTACTTGGTATTGCCTTGCTTTCCTCTCCATTAGAAGGTTCTATACCTACACCGTTTATTCCCTCTTTTATTGTTCTGATGTTGTTATTTAGAGATTAACTGCTCTGATTCCCTGCTGTATTTCTTTTGGTTTTGGATAGTCCTTGAGAGTTCATTTCCCAGATTGGTACCTGGCTGGTACGATCCTGCATCCTAGATTCAGCCTGTGAGCTGAAGTTGTTTGTTCTCAGATAAAAGGACTCCCTTTCATAATTCTTGTAAGCTTGGCTTGGTTTTTACATATTCCCTTATTTTCTGTTTATCTGGAAATGTCCTAATTTCACCATCA